TTAAGAAGCGGCTCGATGCCTACCTGGCTGGGGTCAATTGAGCCCAGTTTCCCTCCTGCCCAGGCAGGGGGTTGGACCTGAAGATCTGCAAGGTCCCTTCCAACCCTACTTCTATGACTAGGCAGACGTAACCAAAGATGGCACAAAAGTCTCTGAAAGAAAACAATTTTTCCCTGAAAATAGTTTTCCTAAGAAAGAGTTAATATAAATGGGGTGCAAGATAAGGAGACATGTGCACAGGTCACAAGATACTGTCATATGAGGAACCCAGAGAGGTAGGGAAAAACCACACGGAATAGAGAACAGAAATCCTAGCAAATCTGCTCTCATAAGCCAGATGACAGAGAGCTTGTATGGGGCTCTTTACATGTTGGTAGAGTTGGGTCCAAGTAAAGGTGTTCATTGAAGAAGATCCACCTACACCTACACCCTACTTCTGGAGCAGGGTTCTTGGAACTTCTGTACACAGAAGCTAAATCCAGACTTGCAGGCATGTGCGGTCTGTGGCGCTGCAAAACAAAATGCCCAAAAGAAAAGTGGCATGGTGCATGCCATAGGAATGTGTGCCAGCTGACACGGAGGCTCAGTCAGTGTCTCCCCTCTAGTTCTACCCTACTTCCTGCAGCATGCTGGGAGGAATGGGGAAACAGCAATTTCCCCAAAGTGGGGCATTTTGCTCCACACCAAAGTGCACATGCAGGGGCATGATCAGCGGCAAAAAGTACCAGCACAAATTTATGTGAAGGGGTACGTCTACATGCAGAGGTGTGTGCTTGCAGCAGCACAAACTGCTGGCACAATGCCTTGGCCTTAATATGGCACTGCTGCCACATTTTTCTGTGCCCCCACTTGGCTATCTGGGCAGTAATCACTCAGTAGATGTGCTCATTGCACTGTCTCTGTGCAAAGTGATGCAGCATGGCCTCTTGGCCCCAAATGGCCAGGAGGTCAGTCACCTCCTCAGGCCACCAACTGATTCTCCAGTGCCTGGTCTGGTCAGACTCCTGTGTGTGGGTCCCCCCACCTGCCTCACTGTGGTCTGCCATGGTCCCTAGAGCAAACTCCAGGGCCGCCTGCTGCTCCATGGTGGCTGCAGCTGAGCCTTGGGTGGCTCTGCCTCTGGAGCAGTGGCACAGTTGCACCCACCTATGTAGCATCTGGCTGGCCCTGGGTGGCTGTACGGGCCCAGGACTAGCCCAGGGTGCCAGATAAGCTCAGCAGCAGGCAGCTGCGATCCCTGCCACGCCTCTGATTGCTCCAACTATGCAGTGTGCTGGAGCAGCAGGGTCACAAACAGACCATACAGATGCACTGGCCAGCAGCCAGAGTGTCTCCCTGGAGGCCCAAGCCTCTGTTTGCTCTGGAGCATGTTTTGCCCTGCTGTTTTTTGCTCTGCTTTTCTTTGCTACCAGGAAATCCTGGTAGCAAATTTTGGCACTGCACTGCAAATTTGCAGTGCAGTGCACATTTGAACATTTGCCCTGTGCAATTTGTGGCACCACAAAGAGGCTTGTGGAACAACAAACTGCACCTGCCTGCACATCTGGATGCAGCCAGAGGCCATGAGAGTTCCTCTGTATTTTAAAGGGATACTACCAAGTTTCTGTGCACAACTATATACCACTCAGCGTCTTGCTATAATATTTCTGTCCCTTTGCTAAGCAGCAGCAGATTTCACAGCCTGGTAAGTCAGTTTTCTATCTGGAGTAGAAATTGGGGGTGTAGAGTTAGGTGCTTTCTTAGGTTTTCTTTTTATTGACAAAATATGCAGAATGTGTTTCCTTAAATAGATGTGGTCACAAAAATTGTACACAAACCTTTTTTCCCTTCCCCCTGGAAACCTGCTTTACCACCACAGAGCAGTTGTGTTGGTCTCTGCATCAAGTCTCACTGCATAAGCCCACTGGTTCTGTTCCTTCCTCAACTTGCGCTGTTCTTCAAACAGCTAGCACAAGTTGCCTGATTACAGGCCCTGGTTGTCATGGGGGACTTCAATCATCATGACATGCTGGGAGCAGTAGACCAGTGCCCAGGCAACCCAGGAAGTTTAGAGGGCTGGAGCACATGACTCATGAGGAGGGGCTGAGGGAACTGGACTTATTTAGTTTGCAGAAGAGAAGACTGAGGCGGGGGATTTAATAGTAGCTTTCAACTACGTAAAGGGTGGTTCCAAAGAGGATGGAGCTAGGCTGTTGTCAGTGGTAGCAAATGACAGAACAAGGAGCAGCGGTCTCAAGTTCCAGGAAGGGAAGCTGCGGTTAGCTATTAGGAAGAACTTTCTCACGAGGAGGGTAGTAAAGCACTGGAACAAGTTACCCACAGATGTGGTGAAATCTCCATCCTTGGAGGTTTTTAAGAGCCAGCTGGACAAAGCCTTGGCTGGGATGATCTAGTTGGGGCTGGTCCTGTTTTGAGCAGAGGGTTGGACTAAATGGCCTCCTGAGGTTGCTTCCAACCACAATTTTCTACTATTCTAATCCTTAGGCTCTTATGTAGAAACGTCCCAAAACAGAAGCCCTCACCAAGGATTGCACAGCTTCAAAAGGAGGCCTGAGTATTGACATTCCTGTTTGAATAGCTGTCCTATAATACACAGAAACTGCAGAGAAGGGGTGCATGCCCATTGGCATGGGCTGTGTGACCCACGAGACAGCAGCTTTAACATCTTCTGAGTACAGTTGCCACCCAGCATCATAATCCCTAGAATCATATAATCATAGAAAATTAGGGTTGGAAGGGACCTCAGGAGGTCATCTAGTCATACCCCCTGCTCAAAGCAGGACCAGCCCCAACTTGATCATCCTAGCCAAAGCTTTGTGTAGCTGGGTTTTGAAACCCCCCAAAGACAGAGCTTCCTCCACATCTCTGGGTAACCTGTTCCAGTGTATTACTACCCTGCTAGTGAGACAATTCTTCCTAACATCTAACCTAAACTTCCCTTGATGCAACCTGAGACTGTTGCTCCTTGTTCTGTCATCTGTCACCACTGAGAACAATCTAACTCCCATCCTCTTTCAAACCTCCTTCAGGTAGTTGAAAGCTGCTATTCCATCTCCTCTTTTCTAAACTAAATAAGCCCAGTTCCCCAGTCTTTCTATGGAGAGTTTCATCCTGCCTGAATGTGTCAATGACTCAGAATATGTGACATGAGCATGTCTTGCCCCAGTCCTATCTGAATGTCAGTAGGGGAAGATGCCTCTTTGACCAATGCCCTGATATAGGCTGTTATCATGGTTATCTAAGCTTCTAATAATGATGGTCATTAGACTGGTCAATATAGGTGATCAGCATGTAAATTATTCAGTTCTACCAAAATCCACTCCCCTTTTTATCATTCATATTACAGTAGACCCCACTTCCACTCTGGAATTTCCTCAGAAACTCCAAGTAATTTCTGAAATCCTAGAGTGTATTGGACCTAAACAGATGCTTTTGGTGAAAATAATGAGACAGCTCTCAGAAAAAGGCATCAGTTGACTCAATGTGCTTTTTTCAGATGCTGTTCAGGAAACTTCAGTGGTCCAAAGGGAAGGCTATTTCACCAGTGCTTTTAATATATGCTGTCTTCTGGAGCTCGGGTAGGTTCACAGTTTTGTATTCCTGTTTAATATCCTTTGTTCCAGAGCTGTAAGGACCCTGTTCTGGATTCTGTGGGCAGGAGGTTCTGAGCTAGCTTTGCCTTCATGTATCACACAAGACAAATTACTCTGGAATTACTTTATTGACTTAATTGATGCTTGACCATGAATGAACTTGGCTACCAGACAAAACATAAACATTTAGAAGGTACACTCCTGTCTCTCTCTACCTGCTGCTTTACATAACTAGAAAGATACCATTTTTCCCCCTGTGTGGAATCACTTATGATATGAGTGCATCAAACTTCAATGTCATTACTGTTGACTTTGCTTCTGCCTTGACATGAACTACAGAAAACGCATTGACCAATTCTGAAAACAAATGGCTGACATGTTACCAAGGCTTCTGAACTCCATCTGCCAATGTTCAGATAAGATACCATGACTCAAAATTAGAGATGTAAAAAAATTATGAATGCAGGAGTTCGAAGTGATAACTCCTTTCATATAACAACTTCTGTTTTGTGCACTCTCATTTTTCTGATGCTAATAATTTACAGCAATAAAATCAAGTGGTAGAAGATGAAGTCTGGGCCCCTAAAATGAAGAGTAATTCCACAAAAGCCATTGAAGACTCTGAATTTATTCCCCTGAAAAGAGAGTTTGATCCTTTGTGCATAAGAGTCAGCTGAAGGACACTTCCTGCCTGCTGACATGTGGTACCTGAGGTTATATAATATACAAAGACTTCACGGTCATTGCAAATAGATTGGTATTCAAGAATATCAAGAATGTCTAACTATTTGTCAATCAATGAAACAGGGTGCAATTGTCATTTAGTCCAAACTCCAGATTAAGGCAGGATCATCCCTGCCTAGACCATCCCAGAAAAATGTTTTTTCTAACAGGGACTAAAAAAAACCTTGCAGTCTCAGAGATCCACTTCCTCTTTAGGTAACCTGTTATAGTGCTTAAGCATCTTCATAGTTTAAAAAGTTCTTTCTAATATCTAACCTAAACCTCCCTTGCTGGAATTTAAGCCCATTATTTCTTGTCCTCTCTCCTGTGGACATAGGGTAGAGTTGATCACTATCCTCATTAGATTTGAAGACTGTTACCAAACCCCCAACCTTCCCTCGTCTCTTCTCTAGGCTAATCCCACATCTTTGAACTAAATTATGCCAGTTCTTTCCACTTTTTCTCATATACTTTATTTGTAAAGTCTAGTCATTTGGTTGCTCTCTTCTGGACTCTTTTCACTTAGTCCACCTCAAAATTGGACACACTACTCCGGCCAAGGCTTCATCAGTGCTGAATAAAGTTGAAGAATCATTTCCCATGACTTGCACACAGTACTCCTGTTCATATAATAATAGAAAGTTAAGGTTGGAAGGGACCTCAGAAGGTCATCTAGTCCAACTCCCTGCTCAAAGCAGGACCATCCCCGATGAAGCTTTGTCCAGCTGGGTTTTGAAAACCTCTAAGGATGGAGGTTTCTGGGTAACCTCTCTGGGTAACTTGTTCCAGTGTTTTACTACCCTTTTTAGTGAGAAAATTCTTCCTAATATCTAACTTCAACTTCCCTTGCTGCAACTTGAGACGATTGCTCCTTTTTATATCATCTGCCACCACTGATTCCAATGTATTAATAGCTTTTTTGGTAACAATTTTACATTGTTGACTTGTGGTCCACTAGGGACCCTAAATTCTTTTCCAAATAGCTACAGCCTAGCTATGCATTCCCCATTTTATATTTGTGCATTTGATCATTCCTTCTCAAATATAGTACCTCACAGCTGTCCTTATAACATTTTATCTTCAGACTATTTTCCAATGCATCAAGGTCATTTTGAATCCCAATCCTGTCATCTACTGTGCCTGTGATTACGCCCAGCTCGATGTCATCCACAAATTTTAATAAATATAAACTAAATGCCAGCCTCCAAGTCATTTCTGAAGATATTATACAATGCCAGACTCAGGACAGACTTCTGAGGAGCCTCACTTCACACTTCCTCTCAGTTGTACTTTGGACCCTTGTTGACCACTCATTGAGCTTGAGTTACTAAGCAGCTATTCATCCAGCTGATTGTGGTTTCATCTATTTGAGTGGTAAGCAACATTTCAGAGCTGTGGAACAAAAGAACCTGGTTTGGGTCCAAAGTGGACCACTGTTCCATCTCAGCCCTGCCACTTTTCCCTGCCACTGGTTCTCTCTGCAGCATGGGATCAGCTCCCCAGACCTGGCACTGGCACAAGCAAAGATCCCTCCTGTGGGAATGCTACCAAAGCTACACCATTGACATGCTGTTGAAGACCTCTCAAGTCCTTGGCTAAGATTTGGTGCTTATACAGCATGTTGCTGACCCTTGATCTACAACATATTTTCTGAGATACCATGGGAGAGACGATGCCAAATGTATTGCATGTATATTATGAGGGAGTCTTGCTAAAGGTAACTATGAAATTTCAAATTGAGGTGTGAAACAAACTGCTTACCAATAGGCACAAACAGATAAAAAATAATACAAACATTTTTACTTCAAAGCATTAAGACCTCAACTCTTGGTGCTGGAATGGAGACTCTGGCCAGCCAGACATATCATCATATCATCCTCCATTTGGAGGATGTGAAAGAACTGGCTTACTCTTTGCTGTCTATGTAACTCACCTTTTCTATCTTCTTTTCCCCACTTAGGGTTGCATCAGGATGCATCCACTGCAAGGAGACGAAATGTGGTCTCATTACAGGGTAAAATGGTGAAAATGGAATGTATGCACATGAGTGATGCAACAGAAGGTTTGATCCTAACTCTAAGGAGAAATGGCACCCCCACTGAGCTTTGTAGCTTGCGGTTTAGAAACTTTAGGATTTGGGACAGAGTCTGCAAAGGTTCTGTAACTCTAGAGTATGATCATCACACCAAATGGGTTTACGCTGTTATTCAGAGAGTCTCTGTGAATGATTCTGGGATTTATAACTGCACCCTGGAAAGCATGATTCCTCCACCTGTGAAAACACTGACCTATACATACATTTGCCTTACAGTATCAGGTAAGCTAGGCGTTTGCAATATTCCATCAGACTCCATTTCTGTGGGTTATTTTTCTTTTATTGTTATCATTTTAGAAAGATAAATATCCTAAGAAACTGCAGCAAGCCTCTTATATGCATATATAATGCTACTGTAATACTTATTGTTCATGCTGCAGAGTGTGGGCTCCCTTCTGCTACCTGAGCTCCATAAGGACAACCTGAGCCCTGTTGGTTATCAGGTATCTTCCTGCTTGTTGCTGTCATGTCTAAAGGAGCCTTATCACCTGTTCAACAAGAAACCTCCATGTATGTTTCTCCTAATACTCCCCAAAAGCACAGACCCTCTCTTCTCATTGCAGATAGCATTGCAGAGCAGGTTGAAGGAGACCTCCTGATTTTCAATTGAACCTTACAATACAGTTTCTAATGCAATGTGTACATAGTGAGGCATCAAATGTTAAAAGCAGTGATTCTCAACCAGGGTGCTCTGACACTCTGGGGTGTTAGGAAATCTTTTTAAGGGTGCCATGTGATACCACATAATATTAGCACTGATAGGTATGCAAATGACAACAAGATAAACCCAGAGATTTCAAATAAATATCTATAGTGTGAAAACTCCTTTGATTTGTTGTGGACTTTCTGAGTCCTTTGCAATGGAAGAATTGCCCTATTATTTTTCTGTAGTCAAAAAACAAGTGAAAGCTAAGGTCTGGCATTTCCTAAGGGGTGCCTTGAGTATAAAATGATTGAGAATCACTGAACTAAAGGGATATCTTACTTATCAGGTGATGGTTGTTATGGGGTGATACACTGATGCAGCAGCATGTCATTTGTTTCCTCTGTTCCAGCTCCTCCAGTTGTTGAGCTTTCCTTGGTATCTCCTTTCTTCAATAACTGTGAGAACACATTGACTTGCTGCGCTTGGGACTTCTACCCTCAAGACATCCAGTTCTCCTGGTATAAGGATGGAGAGTTGATCACCAGCACTTCAAAGAATGATTCTTTGTTCCCCAATAGTAATGGCTCTTACTCCTATATAAGTAACCTAATTATTTCCCGTTCTGACTGGAGCAGATCTGTACAGTTTTCTTGCCAAGTGAATCATTCTGCACTGGAAAGTCCTGTTGTCAAACATATATCTTTGCCTCGAGCTGAAAAAGGTAAACGATTGCTGTTCATTAGGTACTGATTTAGTAATATGTTTCTCTTGGGGTAATCTGTTTTTGAACAAAGGAACCTGTTTAGTGCTCTTCCATACAAAGTGCAATAAGGGTCAAATATTTGCATTTGTTCCTTTGGTTACATCATAGAATTGTCATTTCACCATGCCAAAAGAAAGAGTGAGCCAACTATTAGTTATAATACGGTACAATATAGGCGCTTTAACACCAGTCTTTGAGGGACCAGCCCAAGGCTTCAGACCAAATCCTACAGCATCAGTTCTGAGCAATTAGAATCAGGCTTCATGGCAGCAAAAATCAAGAAATGGTTGTGGGGGGCCCTTTAGCCAAGCATCATTTTGAGATTATACCCTTGAGGTCCCTTGCAACCCTATAATGCTATGCTTCGTTATGTTTTCGTGCAAAATTCTGCCTCTAAATAGAAGCAGTTTACATGGTTTTTAATCATTAATGCTAGAAGTTCTGACCAAGAACTGATTTGTTCCTATGTTTACAACGGCCGGATGTCTTGCGTTCCCCTGTCGTGGCTAGCCCGTATAACAGTTAAAGGCCTACTGATGCTACCACTAAAAAGAGTTGTTTCTTTAGCTTATACCACAGAAGCATGTATTAGAGAGCCATTCTCTTTTTCTGCATCCAGGTTGCAAACACCCTCTGATCTCTCTGCACTTTCTTTCTCTTATTCTATGATTTCTTTTCTCAGGATTCAGCCTCTGTGCTAAGAGCTTCTCTGTCTTCAAAGGATTAGCATAACATGAGGTTTTTTCCTTTTCAAACATCTTTCTCTTTCCTGCAGGTCCTTTTTCTTCTCTGGTGCCTCTTCCCTCTTCCATCCCAAAAAAATACTTAAATCATGTTATTTACAAGATGCTGACAGTTTGATTTAGTGCTGTTTATTCTCAGAATAATTACTCACTTTCAAATAAGATAAGGGTGCATCCTCTGAATTAGAACATCCATAGCACTTTGTGCAAAGGGTAGGGATTTTAACTTCTAATTGGGAAAACTGCTAAAACTTGTCAAGAAAAAATTATTGAAAAATGTTCTCAAGTTGTTTTTTTTAGGTTTGACAATTCAACATAATTTTTTTTTAAAAAACCTTTTCATTATAGTTTTCTTGCAGGGCATTGACTTTTTATCCCAATTCAAGAGGAAAATGATGTTCAAAATATGAGAAATTTCCATGGGAATGGAAATTTTATTCTTTCAATAGCTGTAATAATCATAACTTGTTTCCTAAACTCTGCTTATAGCTTCTATTTAAACAAACAAATAAAAATGCTTATTGCTAAGTCCCTGATATGGACAATGAATGAGTGTTTTTGAATAGCTGCTGTGTCCCATCATATTATAATTTATATTTGTTTCTAAGATTCTTCAAAGTTGCCAATCTGGATCCTGGCTGCAGTGCTTGCTGGTCTCCTCATGATATTGGTGATGATTATTCTGGCAATGACCCTGATATTCAGTAAGTGTTCATCTATTTCATTACTCTTTTCTTTTATTAGAAATAGAAGGGATAAAGATTGATAAGTTATAACTTCATGTATGCACGCCACTATTACCTTCCACTGGATGGAATCAAAACAACTTAAATGTTTGTGCATTTGTTGTCCTCTAATGATTGGACACCTACTAAGAAAAGAGAAGCTGGAATACTAATAAAAAGTCTATCTTAATTCAGGTACTAGATACCCGTGTGCTAAGACTTGAAATAGAAAGTGGGTAAAAGAAATAACATGGTGTCTAATATAAAAAACTGCTTATTGATCTCCTCTTCTGATAGACTCAATTTAATTTTTTTCCCTTTCATCCACTGATTGTTTGCCTAATGACATTTACCCAAAACAGCCCTTACAGGCTTGAAAAGGCAACAGACTGCTGTAGAGCTTAAAGCCAGGGAAAGATTTCATAGAACTAAACATGGTAACAAAATCTTACTGTACAAATAGCATTTTGGTTTGGAGTGGATAATGGGATAGAAACCCTTTCACCTCCAGGGCATCAGTTGAAATCCAACCTCTGTCCAAAGTGACAAAAATTTCTTTTCCAACTGTGATATTACTTTTTTGGTTTTACTTCAGTTCCCAGGGAAAAACATTCACAGAATGAAAATCTGCCCCTCCCCAATTAACCTTAACTGGCAGCTTGGTTAGCAGCTGAATAGGGGGGCTAAGGTCTGACAAACCTTGGAGACTCCATTACCTTTTTCCTCCAAGGTCAATGTTGAGGTTCATTGACCGGGCTGTGTGGCGACGCTTGCGCTGCCACTGCCCATACTGTGCCAAGAAAAGCTCCATTGATTAAGACTTTAATTCATTCGTATCATTTCATGCTATTCACATATTTGCAACAGAGAAGAAATTCACAGTACACTCATGGTGGTATATGTTAGCATAGCCCTACCTCATGGGCTGTTGCAATAGATTTTCCTCCTGTGTCATATATATGTCATATAAAGATATGCAAAAGGTGTACAAAAGACTTAGCTCCACCAACCAATGTAACTCAATGAGACTGCTTCTCAGTAGCAATTATGAGCGAAGAAATCCTACAACCTTGAAAGACTTGTGTTCCCATCCCCATATATAGTATGTGTTTAGTATTTACTCCCTCTGGTGGCCAAACATAATAGCAAAGGACTAACATGGAAACCTAAGGTAGAATTTAATGTGTTAAAACAACACTTACAGTTAAACCATTGAAGCATTTCTAAGTTTCACTTTGCCCGTATCAAAAGTTGTGTCTGTTTTGAGCTAAGCCAACTTTATGTACCTGTTTTAGGATCCAAGACCACATCACAGAGCTCTGCAGACAGAGTTATGCCAGAGACTGCTGTGATGCAACTGCCACAAGAATGCCAGAGAGAGAACTGCCACACAACCTATGCATTGCTTAATTATTATCCAGGATCTACATTATGAGTGGTTGTCAAGTGTGGTATGTGGGGTATGAAATACAGAAGGAAGCCTTGCATTCCCTTGAAGTCTTCTGCACTGAACATGATGATGGAAGACAGGAGCTTCTGGGGAAACAAATATCACCCGCTACTTATAATACTGAAGCCTTGAGCTGTCAAATAACAAGTAGAGCAAAGCCACTTGTGAAGAAGGGCAGTGTGCTAGATGCTGGTTTGAGTTCTCAAACCTAGTTAGTATTTTAGCAAAAAAGTAACATCTAATCTGGCACATAAAGGGAACTGAAATGTCCCTGAGGTGCCTGATCTGAGCACAAGGTGACTGTGGGCCTTTGGGAGAAGATGCACTGCTTTGGAGCATTACGGTCATGACCATGAGGTTAGGCAGCCTAGGGAAATTTTCAGACTGCTGCTTCACAATCCATTGCGTGCACTTGGCTGGACTTGGCGCACTGAGTCACAATTAAGCCAATATCCCAGCAACGCAGCTAAGATATAATTGATGGAAATTCTGTTGTTCAAATGGGTCCAAGTCATTTTCTGATGATTAAAGTCCATGCCACTGTGTCAGATAAAAGGTGTTCTGGCTAAATTCCAGGGTTAATAAGAGCCTTCACTCTAAAATGCCCTACACATTGCAATTGAAATGCAGCCCACTGTGCACTTTCACATGTCTGTCACGCTCCACCCCTGAACTGATTGAATTTCTAGGGTTGCTCACAGCATTCTGCATCCAATCCATACCTTGCAAATCACTTATTTTGGGAGCCTTCAGCATGAAAGAGGAACTATCTCCACTTATGGGAATTCCTTGGGTTAACTGTTGCCTGCAGTTGTGGAGAGCTGGATTTGAGGAAGACCCTTCCAGTCCTGTGTCCCTATGTTTCTAGATAGCTGTTAGGTTTTATCACTTTTTATCACTTTCATGTTTTTATAAATATTGCACAAGTTATTACTTTTACCATATTCTAGTGTATTAGTGGCTTTGTTAGCCGCTGGATCTTTATGGAAGATGCTGATGATCTTAAATGTTGGCTCTTGTTTACAAACTGTTACTGTGTGGCAAGGAGGCAATTGTAAACTACAACAGCAAGATGGACTTTATTTTTGTGTGTTCCTACTGATCCTGAACTCTTTGGCCTGTTCTGGAGATGCTTTAATTGGAATGCATTAATATATTTCAGCATACAAAATTACCAGATTTTAGGTCTAAGGATGTTACACAAATTGCCAATTGCTCAAACCACAAGCAAGACTTTATAAAGGGGGATAAGGCAAGGTACCGCGTTTATCGATTACATGAGTTAGACATAGAGGTTCAGGCACACCGTTCATACAAATACACAAATCATCATGCACATCATTACACACAGGCATACACATACACAAAACAACCATTTCATCCACACATACACCAGATATAGTTACCAGCAATAGTTGCTCAATATCAGCCCAGGGTGGCCAACCGAGGCTTATTGAATAGATGATGATGATGATTTGAAGATAGCCGATTTAAAGATAACAGCTGGAGCGGGGTGAACAGATGCATCTGTGCTCTGATGAAACAGCAGTAGAGAAAGAGACTCAAACAGCTTGGCATTTTCAAAGTGTTCTTTTACAGGGATTGGCATCCTTTGTTTCAGTGCTTTGGGGTTTTTCCATACCCAACTTCTGTTTTTGTGGTTGTTCTTCTTTTGTTTTCAGCTTATCTTAGAAGAAGAAATTCTGCCAGATGGGCAACAAAAACACTCCAAGGCTGTTATCTCCTTTGTGCCTTCAAGCTTCAAAGGGATTCTTCAGCCATTTGTTAGTTAGTTAGTAGTTGGTAACTTACATTTGACGCCTTGTTGCTTACATAAACAGTTGAATCTTCTTCTTCCGTCTCTATGCCATCCTCTCACCATTCACCCTTTTACACACACTCATACATAAAGGCTATGCAGAGTTCATTCACTTATGTCAAGCAGAAGGATACAAAATGGAGTTTTCAAGTTGCTTACAGGACAAGACTAACATGGTTACATTTCACTATTATTACACTCTATGTTAACATCAGCTACATTAGTTCAGTTCATGCTACAAGGAGAGGTCCTAAAGGAAAGAAAATGATGGAAAATAGAGTTGGTACCAAGGACTTTTTAAGTGTGCACATTTGTACAAATAATTACCACAAGTAAAAACTGAGAACAATGGTTTTGAAATCAATAAGGATCTTTAAATAAAGAAAACTGAGTATATATAGCATCCACGTGTCTTGCCTTGGTCTAATTTATTCCATTTTTATTTCCATTTTATTTTTTTTCCAGTGCATATCATCTAAAATTTTATTTCATGGTTAAAAAGAAAAAAGGAGAAAGAATTTAATCATAATGCAATGTGTTTAGGCCCAAAAGAGTCTAGATTAACAATACAGTTGGGGTATGTTTAAAGACCTAGAAACCTAATGGATATGACTTTTTAACAGTTGACTTGACATCCAGTTACTGTTAATTTTAATGGAAAGAAGGCATCTATGTCCCTAAGGCATCTTTGAAAATCTTGGCCCTGATAATTTTCATAAATGAAAGTTTAGAGTTCAGTCATGCAGATATTTACCATGGAGCATGACTCTTATTTTTGTGTGTAATCTTATTTAGGTCAGTTGATTTATTGCCTGATCAGAATCAAATCTCACATAAGTTAATAGGAGAGATGCTTTATGGATTCTGCTGCTAATTTACATAATTAAGTCAGGTGAAGGGAAACCCTTTCCCCCTTGAATTTCTTTGGAAAGAAAAAACACCCCATTCTGATTTTTTTTTAACTATATGGACAATGGGTTCAGTTTCAGTTAAGCTTGCTGCAGTGTTTGTGGGGCCTTAGTTGTGCATCATTTCACAGAAACCAATGATTGGTCCAGGGCTGGCTTAGAAACACTACAAGAGTAGAGAAAGACTGAGTTCTTAATATCAACCATTTTCATCATCTGTTTCCCATGAGTTTCCATTCCTATATATTGAAAGGATAGTGTATGGCCTCCAACAATTCTGGACAAGGTGACAAAGGTGACTTAAAAGTAAAATCAGACACAGAGGCCATTCAGTTTCTCCTGGGAGAGTCACTGCTTTCCTAGGAGAAACCATGAATGTACAGATGCTCAGGATTTCTCTCCCAGAGCGAAAATGGCAGCTCCAGAAGTAATATTACCTGAGAATAGCCAGGATTAAATTATTCCTGGGAGCAAATGTCCATACAGCTTATCCTTCTGAGAGAACCCACAACACAGACTTCCAGCATCCCAAGTGATTTACTTTCTGCTTCACCTCGCCCCAGAGATGGTGTGTCAGTTGGGCTTGACTCTACTATTCCAGCCAAGCAGGAGTAAAACTTCCCTCCACAATTCCATACTGTGCTGCAGGGAGACGGGCCAGCCTGGGTCAACCAGCCAGGGCTCCTTTATGCACTGCTGCCATCTGTTGCTAGGCAGACTGAGAGAGCCTGTAGAGCATTCTGAGATGTATGCATGGGAACCCCCTAGCTACGCAGCCTCAGCACTGCAAGCTCTTTGCCCTTCGGGGGCTTAGCATTCAAATCTCTGTTCAGGCATCTCCAGGTAAGTTTTTCAATTAGGAGGACAAACTCAGGAGATTTCTCTCAGGTCATTTTAATGTACGTATGTAGACATAGCTTTGTAGTGATCAAATGACATACCTACAGTCCCTGCTTCCATTTGTGGTAAGTTCTGAATAATTTGGCCCTTGCAGAGGGCCATTTATGCACCGTGTAAGGACCTGAAGAGTTAACTGGTACATATAGGTTGGACTGGTTCAGTGGTTAATTTCATTTCAAAATGACAGCAAACAAATGGGGGGGTCATTGTAGGGGTGGGAGCAGGGGGGATGTTAGGACTCAATTGAGTATCTTTTCCTTGAGGCAAGAATTTTTTGTGATATCTTTTACTGGACCTGAGGAAAGGTACTTGATTCCTGAAAGACTGTTCAACAGCTTATACAACTATACAGTTGTTCCAGTAAGAGATCACAAAACATCCTTGCCTCAGACATTTCCTGGATGAACATTCCCAACCCAAATATCTTTTTGTTGAAAAGGGATGGCCAAGACTCCATAGCAGTAATGATCTTGAACTGCTACTACTTAAGCAGGTTGCTCTCCTCACTCCTGAAGCAATGTATTTTAGGGTTTATCTTCATGACCCAAGACAGAGATACCCTAAGCTAGTTGTGAGGCTGTTTACTGGAGTCCACATATTGCAACTCAGTGTCATCCTGAGACATCTAAAATAGTGCTACATGCTTTAAGCCCCAGAACTGGAAGCCATATAGCCATGTTCAGCTGCAGTGCAACTGTGTTGCACTGCTAATGTGTCTACCCTGCAATCAGTTATGGAGCTAACAAAGGAAGCATTAGCTGTAATATTTTTCAGGGAAGTTCCTTGCACCATATAGATGTCTTATTGTCTCAAATGATGGCACTGTATCAGCAGGTTGGCTATCAGTGGTAGTAGTAGGATGCTAACCTAGAACAGTGTTATTTTGCTGATATTGCTGCTTAATTAAGAATAGAAAACATAGGGTTGAATGCTGACCAGTACTCTTTTGCTTGGTGTTTGCTTGACGTACCTGGTCCTGAATTTAGGTTCTGGCTGGTTGAAAATTTCCCAATAACAATGTTGCAAGCCCAAAATCAAAAGCTCCAGAACAAAAGCGATTGGGCCCTCCATCATCTGCCATACTGCATCTGCAAACATACAGATGACTATCTGTACCTTTTAATTTTCTTCTCCCTGTGCTCTTTATTGGATTGTTCATTAAGCCTGTACTTGTTGTCTGTAAGCCTGTACTTGTTGTCTAAAACATGGTGCATTTCAAAGATGGTGTCTAATCTTAGAGCCAGATTTGTGCTGGTATTTCCTTATACCTTTACAGCAGTGGGAGCCAATCTTTTTGGCAGGTGTGCCACAACATAGCCCTGCATTCTCCCTGAGTTCCTCTCCAATCCCCTTCCCCTGCTTGAATTGTTGCTCTGCTTTCTACTTTCTGCCCTGTACACACTGTAATCCATTGCTTTGCTTTCAGCTCCCTGTCCTACCTGTTCCTGTGTTCCCTGCTCCCTCCTTGGTCTTCTGTGTGCCACACAGAGGCTAGCCATGCCACTTGTGGCAAGCATGCCACAGGTTGGCTGTCTGCTGTATGCCTGAATCTTTCTTATGTCAGGCATTCAGAGGCAACCAGGAGAATCAATGATGGAACTGGAGGCACAAAAAAATTGTTTTGTATCCACACGCTATTTGTCAAGGATGCTTATTTTTAAAAAATATTATTAGGAACAAGATGCTTTAGGATATAATTTGTAGAATAAGAGTAGTACTTGAGCCTAAAAATTATAGTAATTTCACACCAGACAAATAGGTGTTGTCTGTAGGAGGGTCACGTTCACAGTTGCTATTCAAGAGCTATAGAGCTGGTGTTAAACAAAATCATTGAAGATGTCTGTGTATTTGGCAAAACATTCACTAGTCTCTTTTTCTTTGTTCAGTGTCACAATGGCAGCCTGGCTGCACCTCTGTTGTCTTCCTGGTTTCTCTTTGTGTCAACCCCAGACCTGTTATACTTTGAAGCTTTTTTTCCTTGGGTGGAATTTGGATTAAAGTACCCTTGAGTATCCATCACATGTACCAACCAGATCTGACTGATTAAAGGCACATCCTTTCATGTGTCTGTGACTAGTGGTGAATGTAGTGACCAAGCAGCCTTTTCATTCAAACTATGGTTTATTTAACAGCAGAAGCAATGCATTTAAGGAAAATTTAAATGCAACAGTATTAAACCTTGTCTTTAAGATCTAGGGTGTGTCAGTGGAGATGTGATACATGCCAACATGAGTTTTTGTACCTGAATGACAAATTAAGCTGACAAAAGCATCCTTCTATTGGCATATCTGTACCTACACCAGGAATTTTGCTGGCATAGCTATATCAATAACCAGCTTGGGTTTTTTGGCACTACTATCAAGCATAGCTTTGCCCACAAAACTTTGTCATTTAAATATGGCTTAATCCAACCATGGGCTAAGTATTTCTATATAGGAGTTGCACTGCTTGAATTAAAGATGGGAAGTTAAACCAATATAATTAAACCAGTATGGCTCATTTTAGATATGGATGATGTTACTTAAGTTTATATAAGTTTAGCTTCCATATCTGATCTTCCTCTTCTGCTCTTGCCAGCATGAGAAGAGCTACATTGGTTTTACTGAAGCTGCAACTTTTAAACTGAATCTGG